TATTCTGGAATGAATATTTTGCATATTGAGAATTAATAATAAAATTAAAAATATTTATACTTTGATTTGATTTATCATTGGATCAAATTGCATATAAAGAATTTTAGGAAACTTTATATTTTATGAGAATTATTATAATATTAATAAAAAAATTATTTTTAATTTTTATGTTTAGTAATAATAGGATTTTTACAAGAGTTACATATTTTATAAGAGTTACATATAGAAATTTTGAAATTTCATGTTTGAAAGTTATTGGAAATTAATAAAAAAAAAATCTATTTTTAATTTCTATTTCGATAATAAGAGAATTTTTTCAATATTATTTTGAATTTTAAAATAATTAAGAAGAATTCTTGAGAACTAAAGTATATTTGTATTTGAAATTGTAGTTTGATTGATTTGTGTAGAATTTTATTGATTTTATCATTTCATTAAAGAATTTTAAAAGAATTTTTATTTTTGATCTTCATGTTTAAATTTCTAATTAAAAAGATTTTGCATATAAACTGTAATTAAATTAATGGATAAAGTTACGTGATAATTTTGATAATTTTCGAGAATTTAAGAATTGTAAGAATTTTATGTTTGAGTTCTAAAGAGGATTATTATTTTTGAAATTTCTATTCAGATTTTAATTAGAAAATTCTTGTTTAATTATTATATACAGCTATATGGATAAAATTTTACTAATTTTACTGAGAATTTATAATAATTTCTTAGTCATATTCTGTCGATCAAATATCATAGAATTTGATTTGCAAGAAATCAAAAACCAAGCGTTCAAATTCTATAACAAAATTCTCGACGAGTCAATTGTTAGTATCACAATAAATTTCTTTGCATCGAATTTCATATATGTATACGTTTACTGTGCATGAAAGTTCTTCGAGTCGTTCGAATGCATTCATTTCATTCAACACATTCCAATTGTCGCCGCGACCAACATGTTTTTGTGCTGCTGCGTTTTCATAATCGTCAACGACACTTTGATTGTCGACAACAGTACATAATAATAAATATATAAGTACGCGCTTATATTTCTTGAATTCTTGTTTTTTCAATGATTCCTATTAATGGATAGTTCTTGTTCTATCTTTATAATAAATTTAAGTTTTTTTTTTTTTAAAGTAAATTACAATTGTAGGAGTTTTAAAGTTTCAAAAATATGGAGTGGATTTCAAATATAAAACTTTAGCTTCGGGTATTTATTACTTTTCGAGAATAATGAAAAACTTTCAACGCCATACATTGAATTTCATTTATATAGATGTGACTAATGCAACTTTCTTCACTGGAAGTTCTTCATCATTGAGTGTTCAATAAGTGACCTCGATATCTATAGGGTATTTCACAATATAAAGCTACAATTGTTTTTATAAAAAAATTATAATAAATATTGCAATAGATAAATAAATACTTATCATTTTTACACTCTAACTCAATTCAATATTATAAAATTCGATATTCTATTCGAAGCGTGCTTGAAATAAAAACATTTGCCACATATGCCATATTTTTACTTGCAAATTAATTCTTTTCTATTCTCTTAATATCATACTTTATTTAATAAAATATGTTTTGTTTCTTGAGAATGAATTATAGATAGGATATCTTTTATACAGATATTGAGATTGATGTAGACATCATTATCATATATATATATATATATATATATATATATATATTTAATTAAATATATATTTAATCATATATAATTAAAATATATAATATATAATAAATATATTAATTAAAATATATATTTATAAAATATTCGTAAAATTTTAATATTGGGTATATTTTGAGTTATACGTGTATTTTTTGACATAAATGAAAATTTTCGATATCGATATTTCGCTGAAAGCCATGCATATATAATAGAACATCGTAAATTCATATTAATAATACTTATTAATATTTTTTCATACTTAAAACTTTCTCCTTTTTCCTCATTTCTTCTTTATGTCAAAAATATGACATTATAAGTATTCTAAGTTTTTATGTCTTCGTATAACAACGTATATCTAACACGTTCTGTTCAAATAGAAACAAAAAGAAACAAGAAAGCATCGTTATTGAAAGCCTCTGACGCTTTGTTAGAATTTATCAGTCTGGAAACCTGGAAATTGAATTCAATTATCTTCATATTCTAACATTGTTATATTATATTATATCACTATTCTATAAATCCAATAGAATAGTTTTATTAACAGATTCATTAATAAATATTTTTCGATATTATTATTATTATTATTGATCATTATATAAATATTTTAATATTTATTATTTATTGAATTCATAATTTTGCAAAGATATTTTTAACGTATTTATTATTCATATTTAGAATTAAATTGACACATATTTTTGGAATATACTTATTCTTATTGACTTCAAAGAGAAATTTTCATAATAATATTATAAAAAACGTGTTTTGTTAATTTTAATTTGTTTATATATATATATATATATATATATATATATATATAAACAATAAATATTAAATTATATATATATATATCATTATATATGTATATTAATATATATTTCTTAGCAAAATTGAATTATATTGTTAATTTCAAATCTAAATTCTATGGAATTTCTAATTTTATCTTAAATTTTATAAATCACTTTTTTAACATATTTACAGTATACATTTAAGATTTCAATTGTGACATGCATATATTATAAAACTTGAAAAAAAAATTTTATAAGAAGTGTTTACCATAAAAATTTTTTTATTTTATAACATAGAAATAAATTTTATATGAAAATAGTTTATTACCAAATTGCATAACTAACTAATAGCGAATATTTATGCAAATTTATATTTTATGCATAGAAAATAAAAATTTCTTATCACTTTTTATTATTGGTATACAGTATTACGTTAATATGTTAATATAAAGAAATATATATTAATATTATTAAATCATAAAATATATTTGCATATCAAAGATATGCTAATAACTATATTCATGGAATATTTTTGAAAAATCGATTCTGGAGCACAAAATAAATACAAAAATTAATATACAAAAATATCGATTGAAATTTATTTGTTAGTTATAACTAATTGAATTTTAATTAATAATTGAATTAGTTAAAGCGAGAAAGAAAGTGAGACCTCTTTATCTTTTTTTTTATTCTTATTGCGTTTCCTTCCTCACTTCATCTAACTCAAACTTAAATTATTTATAATTTAATAAATAAGTCTTAACCGACACCAATTTTTGTATTCAGTTCTAGAATTAATCCAAAAATTATTCTACGAATATATTAATATTTTATATTTCTATTTTATATCAAATATTCAATATCTTTCTTATTAAGAAATTTTCTTTGTAATAGTGTCATAAATTATTAAAAAAATTCTAACAATTAAAACAAAGGAATAGTAATAAATAATAATGATATTTTAATAAGCGTAATAAAATCCACGTTGTCTAAACTGCTTTCTGTGATCACTTTGAAATAGAAATCTTCCTCTGAAATAGAAACATTCTACGAGAGTTTAATTATAGATATAGTACAGTGTACTCGGTGCTTGTATATATTATAGTTTAAACCTCACACTGTGCAGGATCCACACGAAACATTTTTTGGAAAAGAAGAAAGAATTAGAAATTTGCTTAAAAAATATGAAATATATTATAGATATATATATGTAAAAATAATTGTAAATATTATTTTTTTATTAAATAACATTGATCAAAATTCATGATACAAATAAACTCAAAATAAACGAGCATAAGTTATAAAAAGCAACAAATTATACGAAACGACATCGAAATAAAGATCGATAAAGTTTTCGATTGAACGTGTTTTGGAATTAATTGTTATGCATATCGTATATTATTAATCGAGTAATTGGGCGATAATGAATGATTACAAATGTCAGGAGCACGCGTATCGCGTGATATCGCTCAAATAATCGCGCTTTTGTTAAGAAACGTTCCATCGACGCTGCGTACCGGCTGTGTTTCCGGTTTCATGCTAAGGGAAGGGATTTATCGCTGGAGTACAAAGAGATATTATTATCTTTAAGATTTTTTTTTGCAATAAACGTAGATATGATTTTGAAGAAAATTGTTTGCTATTCTAACGTTTTTAAATTAAAAATTTTTCGTTATACAAATAGATTTTGAAGAAGGAATTATATTATTATTGATGATATTTATTATTGAAATTGTGATGAAAGTAAACAAAATTTTGAAGAAAAATATCCATTATTTTAATATTTACATATGTTAAATTTAGTTCTAAGATACTTTTATAATAAAAATAATTGTAATTTTGAGAAAAATTGTTTATTATTAAATTTTCATTCTATTTTAACATAATATTAATTTAATTTAAAGAAATTTTTGTTTTAATAAATATAGTTGTGATTTTGATGAAAATTATTTATATGAAATTCAATTTTAATTTATTAACGAATTTAATTTTATGTCTAACATTTCTTTAAAAATTATATTTTTGTATTATCTAATTCTAATCTATTGAAAAAATATATTTATCTAATTATAAAATAATAATTTGATATTTAAAAAAATAAAAATATTAGTATTTACAAGAACAGAAATCAATATGTATTGAATTCTTTTTCTCAATATTTCTACACACTTAAAATCCTAATTACAATTAAAATTTTCATCCAAATTATTTTAATGAATTTTAATTTTAATTTCTAAAATCATATGAATTTTTCTCAATAAGAGGAAAAAAAAATATTTTGTAATTGAAATAATTGGTTTCTGAAGAAATTATAAGTATGATAATATTTCGAAAAATCAATTTCTTGACTCAACCGTTATATATAAAGTCCAAAATGATTATTTGATAGCTAGAAACCAACTGGTATTTACGATCAATTCCTTGCAACACTGTAACTCAGGAAGGATAGCGATTCGAGCTCATACTTTGAACTTTATAGCTCTAACCGTCGTAAAAGTTATGGTTTACATCGATTCTAACGGTGTTTTGTATTTTGTCTGTTGCAGGAGGTCGGAAGCATCATTGGAAAGAAAGGAGAGATCGTCAAAAGGTTCCGTGAAGAGGTAATTAAATCTATTTTATTTTTATTAAATTAGAATAAATATTATTTCGATAATATTTAATATCGATAAATAAAATTTATTTAAAAAAAAAAGAAAATTTGTTATCTAATCAATAATCATTCAAATTGATTACATTATGATTGTAAAAATAAGCATTCAAAATAAGAATTTTTATAAAATCAAAAACTCTTCGAACATTTTTTTTACAACATTGTATTCAAAGATTTATTACTTAATTATATTGATAATTTAATGAATAAATATTATATTAATAATTTAATATTTAAATATTTTTCACGATTTTAGTATTTATGATAAAAAGAGTGTTAATTATTAATCAACGAATTTTCTAAAATAGTTTTATCTGTATCTATATAAATTTTTATATATAAAAATCATTTCTCTTTTTCAAGATATGGAAAATATTCGTTAAAAATAATATTCTACAAATCAATATAAATTTTCGTTAGAGTAATTATTATGAAACAATAGTTCATAGTAATAATCAGAAAGTAATAAAATAGATATTTAATTACAATAACAAAAATAACTGATGCAAAAATATTAAATTATATATATATATTAGGAAAAATTCATACCATCCTTTTATTTTTTTAATTGAAAATTAATAATTAGTTTTCGACGAATTTTAATTTAAAAAAAAAGTACTTTTAAATTATTAAAAAATTTTGAAATCGTCACTAATATATTAATATTAATAACTGATAGAATACTCAAATCAATAATCACGATATCTGCGTGTAATTAATGAAACATTAATACGGTGCTGCCATCTGATATATGTGAAATTATTTTTTGAAATGTTAACTTATTTTTTAATCTTTTTCTACTTATTTCGATTATCATAATGTATACACATGAATTAATAATAAATAAATATATATATATATCTTTTTGTATAATAATACAGATAATTAATTATTATTATTATTATTATCTTTTTTATCATAATTATACAATGAAATATACGATTTATTTAAAAAATACATAATTTTCTTATTTTTTTATAAAGAAAAAAATATACATATATTTTAAATATCTATTTTTCATTCATTTAAAATACTATATCATTTAATGAGGATAATCAAGAATAAATAAAATATGATCTTATATAAAAAGCAAATGGCGCTTATTCTGAAGATTATATTGTATATACTCGTTATATGAATTTTTTATACAATAAATAAACATCACGCATAAACTGAGCGACAAACAACTTATGACTCAGCTTAATATTTATGATCTGAACACGTTTTGGACGATATTCAAGATCTATTAGACTTCTCCTTGCGTGTTGATTAATATGCTAACACGTTGATTTGGAATAATAAATGTTTGATGATGATACACATGCCATACATATAGAAGTTACACATAATTAGATTTCTATAAATTATTTTTTTATTAATTTTTCATTTCAATATTTAAACATTCTATATAGAAATATAGAATATAGAAATATATAGAAATTACATATGATTTAAATTTCTGTGAAACTCTTTTTCTTTTTTATACATATATATATTTTACATATTAATAAATTTATAAAATTTTAGAATTTTTTCTTTTTTTCTTTTTTTTTTTTTTTTTAGAATTAAAAATAGAATAAAAATAGAATTTTTTTAAACAAAAATTTCAAGAATTGTAATAGATATCAAGTTGGTTTCAAGAAATATATTTATAGAATGAACATGTTAGTAGATTGACATTTTGTATACTGTTACGTCATTTTGCATACTAAATCTACTTGTGGTACATGAGTTCAATGGATGTATATTAAATGAACAGATGTATGATACATTTATGAAAGTTCAAGCCTGAAAATATTTATATATTCAAATTTGGCTTGTCAATGAATTGTAGAACACATTTCTCATTGTTTCTATATTTGATTTAAACTAATGACATATTAGAACATCATGCAATTTGTACTGTTGTGAAATATTTTATTTTTATAATAAAAAATTGTAATAAAGTATAATAATAAATTATTTCTACAAATAAGTATTCAAAACATGTTCAATTTCTTTATATATATAACTTTACAATATTTTTTTAAATTTTTATCTCTTTTTTATTTCAATTTTTCAGTTTTGTTTATACTATGTATCGTATTACATTCAATATTAGTAACATGATATTGTTGACTGAGCTGAGTAAAAAAGCATTTAATGGCAGAACTTACGTCAGCAAATTTAAAATAAAAAATAATATAAAGTATAATAATAGTATCTTTTTAAAATTACAATCTGTGGTAATCTAATTCAAAGAATTCTAATCTATTTTTCATAAAATCATTCAAAAAATTTTGACTTTATTTTTTTATCTATCTAATTTTACTTTTTATTATTAAATTTAATAAACATCTAGTGCAATGAAAAATAAATAAATAAATATTGTATTATAGATTATTAAAATAAATCTATTATTTTGAAATGATTGAACAAAATTTTAGAGAATTATATGATCTTTAATATGTGAAATCATGATTGGGTTAATGAAGTTGTATGTAAAGAATTTTAATGATTTTAGAAGAATTTAGAGATTTGATTATTGAGAATTAGTAGAAAAAAATTCATATTTTTGATTTCTGTAAGAAATTTTGCAATAAAATTGTGATTTTTACCATTAGAAAGAGTTTTGTATAGAGAATTTTTATGAATTTTTATTTTTAGAATTTTAAGAAAAATTTTAGAATAAATTTTTAGAAATTTAATTTCTAAATATTTTCGAAAATTAAGGAAAAAATTTTTATTTGCAGTTTCTATGTTTTACAATAAATTATAAAGATAAATTTAATAAATTTTTATTATAATCTTCGAGAATTATTGAAAATTAATTAAAAAAATTCTGTTTGAATCAAAAATAAAAATAAGAAGATTTTCGCAAATTGCGGCTCGATTATTGAATAAAATTTTTTTATTGTAAAAATTATAAAAATTGATCTTTAAAAATTTTTGAAAAATTCTTACTCTTATTAATTATTTTTATCTTAAAAAAATATTAAAAAATGAATATCGCAGCATACAATATCCTACGCATAGATAGAAAGTGCAAATTTCTTTTGTGATCGATAAATCTTGAATAATCTACATTGAGTGACCAAACATCTAAAGTCCATGAATCACCAAGCTCATTCCACCGATAAGTTCAACGGAAACATTTATCATCGGTCACTTTCTGTTTCGAAGTTCGCAGGATATCTGACTTTTAGTTATCTGGAAACTAAGGTCATCCTTTCTACTCCGATTTTGATATATGCATCCAAAAACTGCACATTGGGCAAGTTTGCTTCAGTAGCAATTAGTTTTTGTCGGAAATTCGACGGCTCGATTTGTTACATGTTATAGGAAGAAACTCTTACCGAAATTTCGTTTCTTCATCGTATCTATTACTGTCGTGTATTTAAGCATTCTTGTAATTTATTTGAAAAAAATGTAATTTCAATATATTTATATTTAAATATTTTATTTTTATTTTTATTTAAAAATATATGTCGCAATAAAAATATATACTCGCAATAAAAAAATTTATATTGTTATCCAAAATATACATATATTTTTCATAAATATGTTAAATTATATGTAAAATAAATTAAAAGCAATAATGGAATTCAAATAATAGTTTTTTTTTATTATTAAAATATGAGAAAATCTAATTATAAGTTCTTCTAATTATGCACATTGTATTCAAAATTAGTTATCATTTTTTTAATTTATTTTTTGTATATAGTACTGTAAAAAATTTTATATGAAACATGGAGCTATGTGGAATATATCATTTAATAATTTAATTCTATTTAAATGATAATTCTCGTGATCAATTTTGAGAATTTTTTGTAATTCGAGTGATCACTTTCAGTAATATAACAATTTTCTTTAGTTTTCTTTTTTAGTATTTGTACAATTTTTAGATAGTTTAAGACAAAAAGATCACAGAAAATAAGATCAAATAAATCACCATTATATATTTTATATTAAAAAATCTTCGAATAAATGAAGTCTACCATTTTAATTTTCAAAATCAAAAAATTATATAGTACTATATAGTGTTCGATATAAGTATTCTCATATTACAAAAAATATTCTAAAACATGTCTCTTTTATTCAAATTTTTTATCGTGTTCTATCTTTTTAATCTTTGGATTATTGTATATCAAATTTTTCAATAATTTTTTTTTTTATGTTTGTATCTATCTCTTATAAAAAAAAAACTTGATTTTGCAATGTGTGAGATATAGTACACAAAGTTTAATTGAGCGTGACACACCGTGATGAAATGTGTTAAGGATCGGTTTTCACACTTCATTGATATCATATACATCGTTTATTGGCCATAAAATTTTTAAAAATTCAATAAAGGTATTCGATTGTACATTATTACCGTCCCAGAAAGGAATCTCTAAAATTATACGATTAAAAATATATAATGGATATTACAATCCATTAAAATTTATCTAAAATTATATTATTTTTTTTATGAATTAAAATTTATATTATATACACATAATAATAAATTAAAATATTCAAATCGTACTTTTAATTTATAAAAATTTATATTTTAAAATATTTTGAATAATTTCTTTATTTTTTCTTTTTAATATAAAATTTATCTTATGCTCAATTAATTTTTAATTACTTGAAATATTAAAAAATTTTAGTTTCTTTGTTAATCTTTTGATTATACATTGTTAAATTCCTGCACACTTTTATAAATATCTTTTATTTTTTTTTTTTTTTTACCAGCAGAGTATAATAGTAAAAGTAATCCAAGCATATCTAATTTGGTAACCAACAGAACGAATTGATCAGGTGGTACAACGTTAGGGTGGTATAACAAAGGGATTTTAAAATAGCCTTCAACGACCTACATTCATAGGTTGTTATATATTCGCTTAAAGAGCTTTTGTTATACGATAAATAAAAAAATATTTATTTATCATTTCATTTTAATAAAGAAGAAAAAATCTTCTCGAAAGACAAAGACATAAAAAAGATATTAAGTGATAAATAATTGTTTAATTCACATAGTCCAATGACTTTTGGCTTCGATCAATTTAGCGACGATTATGAAAATTAAATTAAAATTTTTAGATGAAATTTGGATTAAATAATTGAATTGCTTTTAACATAATCAAATTAGCCATTTAAACAAACAATTACGAAGATAAAATATATTTAAATAGATTTAAATGATAGGATTATTTTGACTCATTAATAAAAACTAATTAGATAAAATAAATAAAAATTAATTAATAAATTTACACTGGTATTTTTATTGGTATGGATCATTTTCGATTTATTTATCTTCGAAAATATTTTAAAAGATTTATTTATTTTGTTTTATCAATATATGAATAATTTTTGATCCATCAATATTCTATGAATATTTAAACAATATTCTTATTTTTGAAAATTAAAATTCTACCAAAATCACTTTAAATTATCTAAAATATTCTAAAAGTTATTTCAAATTTAAAATATTCTTTCGTTCTCCATAGAATAACATTTAAACAGAACAATAGAATTTAATCAATCATTTCCAGTTCGCATTCTGGAAAAGATCCACGTGTTTCATTCAACTTCTTCACAGGTAGCGTGATACATTTCGAACAATGACACAGTATTCAATAATTTAATTTCAACATCCATTGTCCTCGTAATCAACTAAGAACGTTGAGAGAAGAGAAAGAGAATCAACCTCTCTGTCAATTATTGAAAAATATGACAAACCTGGTCGTCGCAATTGTTATCATTCAAGATAACGACGTTGTATTGGTATGACTAAATTATAAATAATGTATGCGCTCAGTGGAAAAAGCGAACAGAATAGTTTAAAATTATAGATACGATAAATTTATTTTACTTTGTAATTAGAATTCGATGTAATAAACAAATGAGATTGAATTGAAGAATTAGACGATAAGTCGAAATATGATTTTATAAATAAAGAAGATTAGCTAAAAAAACTGCTTTAAATAAACTATTTATATTAATTATATTGATCTTTTAACATTATGATGATAACGTCAATAATTAATAAAATTAATTAATAATAATATTTTATAAAAATATACGAACATAATTAATATTTCAGAAATAGATAAATAAAAACAATAAATATCTTAAATGCCAATAATTCGTGTCACATGGCGCTAGTAATATGTTCTAAGTAGTTACTGTACCTTTTAACACTAATTAACAAACTATATTTTTATCGTGTTTGTAAAAACATATAAATAAATTAAATATTTAAGTGAAAAAGGAAAGATTAAAAATGTTTTAGAAATGCACATAAATAGATAAAAATAAAAACAATAAATAAGTATACATATTAGATCCAATATTGTAATGATAGTATTGATACAAAAATATTCAATTGTAAATATCGAAATTTTTAAATATTTAGTATTAATTATCGATACCAATTCTTTTTCATTTTTTAACATTGATCTATTGAATCAAAATTTTGGTATTTTACGAATCTTGATATTTAACAAAAATATCAATTGATATCTTTAATATTTTTTTTCTCTTTGAAAATCTCACAAATCAGGTTTTCAGCAGAACATTTATCACGAATAAACTAAATTACATATTTACAATTCAAATATGTATAAGTAATTTATATATATATGTATATATGTATATATGTAATTTTAATCTACTGATATATAAATTTGATATCGATATCTTATGAAGATATCAAATAAATATTATGTTTATGATTTCGTATCAAATTTATCAATATTTTCGAAGAAATATCTAAGAGGTATTCTTTCTTCAATTTCTTTTGATATTTTTGATATTAAAGAAAATCACGTTATTAATCATTTGTAGTATTAATGTCGTTTTCGTAAAATTTTTGTGAAAATAAAAAAAATTTATCTTATATAGATTATTTTTATTTTTCAATATTCACAATGTAATTTAATATTTTTTCTATTAATAGAAATTTTTCTTACAAATGAAATATTTAAAAAAATATAAATAAAAAAAGTTTACGAACAAATTATTATTAGTTTCAAAAAACAAAAAATTAATTTGAATTGTATTTTTGTATACTATACATACTATATATACTTCATATTCTTATTGCTAAATTCTATAAACACAATTATCAAATTTGTTTTACTCTTATGTTGCATAATATATCTACATACATATGGATATTTTGTGTTATTTTGCATATCGTGTGCATTCTGTACATTTTTGTACATTTAAATTTTCTATAAGTACATAAATTTCCACAATGTACTTATTATTATAAAATAAGATTATATTTAAGAAGGAACAGAATAAGCGAATTTAAAATTGATTCTATTGGATTATTCGAAAACATAATACTATATGTTAAATTTACTGTTCTGTTTCCAGTAATTTAAATATATTATAACGACTTGTCTCAATCGCTATAATGATTTACTTACCAAAATTTCTACTTATATATAATATTACAACTCGCAATATTACAATTACTAGTTTACAAAAATATTATGCGATCTCATATTAAGCACTTATTCGATACTTTCAGATTATAATTTTAAACAATCTATACAACATTATTTTAAATAACTTACGATCTTTGCACAATATGTTAAAATAATAAATCGTCGAATAAATCCTCTCCATCGAAATACTAAATTCCGTTTATTTTCTCCACAGTCTGGCGCGAAGATCAACATCTCCGACGGTTCGTGCCCGGAACGAATAGTGACGGTGACCGGGCCAACGAATTCGATCTTCAAAGCGTTCACCCTGATCTGCAAAAAGTTCGAGGAATGGTGTTCCCAGTTTCACGACATCCAGGGGAGCGGTGGCGTGCCCAGGCCGCCCATCACTCTTAGGCTGATCGTGCCCGCGTCCCAGTGCGGCTCCCTGATCGGCAAGGGAGGGTCCAAGATCAAGGAGATCCGCGAGGTGACCGGCGCCTCGATCCAGGTCGCCTCCGACATGCTGCCTAATTCGACGGAGCGTGCGGTCACCATATCGGGCACCAGCGAGGCCATCACGCAGTGCATATATCACATCTGCTGTGTTATGCTAGAGGTGCGTAAATAAGTGTTCCCGGGTTCACGAGTTCGAGCCGGTCAGGGTCGTTGCTTCAATATTATTTTCGTTGTTTGATCTCGTGTTGAAGCTTTGGGAAAACGGAGGAAACGGAGTGTCGAGTGATTTATTGAGCGTTGTCTTGAAAATTTTTCTCGTTACTTGTCTGCGAGATCATTTTTTGTTTACAAGTTAGGTTAAGTTAGTAGTAGACAATTATTTTATATAATAATTCGTTAATTCGTTTCGTGTTATTAAATCAATTTTGGAAATATTAAAAAATAAGAGAAATAGTAAGAAAAGTAGCATGGAAATATTCGTGTTGTGTAAGGATTATTAATAAATGCTATATAGAAATAAAATGCTATATTGTTGATTATTGGAAAATGTTTTTTTCGTAAATAGAAAAGTTAAAATTTGGAAGTCTTCTTCGATTAATATAACATATTTATCTCTTTTTTTATATTTGCAGTATTTTTGAAAAAAAAATGAAATTTTTAAAAAAAAAATTTTTTAATTTTTTAAAAGGAATGTTATGTATATTTTTTTATATTATATGAAAACGTTGCTAAAATGATTTCATTTATTACACAATGATTTTTAAAATTCTAAAAAATCAAAAATGAATATTTTGTAAATATACTTACAAGTATTTCTTTTTGACTGATGATTTATTTTTATTATCATTCACTGTCATGACATTTATTTTTTAATATTTAATTTTTACATCTGAATATTCATTTTTGTATTTACGTTTATATATTTGCATTTTCTTTTACTAAAGAACTATGCATTGCTTGAAAAAATTATTAAACTTATAAGATATTAAAATATTTTATAAAATAGGAAAAATAGAAGTAAATACTATGATAATAAATAATAATAAAAAATAAATCATATCGATTGAGTAAAATAAAAAAAAAATATTTGTAAACACATATGATATTCCTTATAAATTTTAAAAAATCACTATTTAGCATATGATGAAATCATCTTATCACATACTTTCGTATAACATACAAAAATATACGTATAATCATATAGTACATATAGTTATCTTTATTTCTTCAAAAATATTGTAAATATAAAAAAAAAATAAATATATTAATATGTTAATTGAATGAAACTATAAAACTTTTTACTTTTTCAATTGTTTTTTTTTTATACTTATTATTTACAAAAAAAAAGCTAACAAATAATAGCATAAATAATAATAATAGCATTTTAACATAATTTCAAAAATGTACAATCTCTAGTTTATTTTCCATTGATATTAGAAAGTTTAATTCAATAAAAAATAAAAAAAATTGAAATCATAACTTAAAAAAAAAAAAAAATACAAGAAACATCAAATAAAAAAAGAAGTGAAACTTTTAAGACAGTTTAATAAATGCACTTGATATAATAAATATCTTAATAATATATACAGGAATGTATAGAGTTTCCAACAAGAGATTAGATAAATTTAAATAAATTAGATTGTAATTTAAATTGAAAAAACATAAACAGCTTTCTCTAAGCTAAAACAGGAAATAATGAGGTAATTAAGATGGCAAAAATTAATCCTTTCTTGACCCTAATTGGTAGAAATTCGTGAACTCTACTACAGTTTATACTCTTGGCGATGTCACCCTGCTGAACTATATAGATTGTTATANAAATTCTATTTCAATTTTATATAATTATATTATGATAAAAGATATAATAAAAATTATAATAAAAATATTATATAAAAATATTATATATTATAATAAAAATATATAATTGAGGAATTTTATAAAAAAAAAGAATCCGTAAAATGAAAACTGAATTTAGTATATTGTATCTAAAATTTTAACGGAATGAATAAAATAATAATTACAATAAAAAAATTCTATATTTTAGACATATAATATTCATTAATAATTTATCAAGAAAAAATTTATAAATTTCATAAAAAAGTAGTAGTGTAAATTTAAAATGTTGATCACAGAAATAACAAGTTAACTTGATTTTCTCTTTTTTTGTCGAATTAAAATAGATTCTACGAGTTTTCATATTTAATTCTTATGACATAAAAATTAATGTTCGATAAAATATCTTAAAAAGATAGAAGTATAAAATTAATAAAAAGAAAGTAATCATGTTATTAATAATTGATTGATTCGTTATATAATATTTAAGTAATACTATTTCATTTTTAGATATGTAGATACATAAATATGTAATTTTTTGTTAGATAAAATAATTATCCAGTAAATATCATAAATATTATATTTATATCATATACAAAAACTCGTAGTTTCGTACGTTATAACAAAAAATTATATTCTATAAGTAAATCTCTTTATGAGAATTTTTATTGATTTTAAAATTTCAAAATATTTATTTATTTCATTTTTCTCGTAGATTTAAGTTATTGATAAGTCATGTTTATTTTTGATATTGTTTGAAGCACATCATAAACATAAAAACTTCTTTTTTTTTAAAAAGGTATATAATATATTCTATCTTTAATTATTATGAATAATATGTGAAAACTTCAAAGATCATATAAAAAAGATATAAAAGTATATAATATTTGGATAAGAAATTCTATATACTTGTCAATGTTATATTTAATTAAATAATAATTTTTTTAATTTTTTTGTATAAATTGTAAAAATATAAAAGGAGCATTAATATTTTAATATAATAATATAATATTTTATTATATTTTTAATGTGATAATAATTTTTAACACATGATATCATAAAATGAAATTAATTATTCAAATATTATATCTTTTTATAAACATTTAATTGACGGGAATTACAATAATATTATATATAAATATATTATATATAAAAAATATTATTATTATTATAAATTAAAAAATCACAATGAAAATGTGATGTTCAAAATCATAATGAATATATATGAGAAAATATGTCATGTATACTTCAACTCGCATCTGAAACAATATTTAAATTATCTATAGATATTCTCTGCTCAAAATATTTTCCCATCAGTTAAATATCAACCAAATGTAGGATGATTCATGAATTCTTGTCTGGTTTATGCTCAAAACTCATATTATAACAATCTTTGAATTATATTAAAATTTTATACAGAATTAAATGATTCATAAAGTATAACATGTTATAATTTTGCCATAATATGTAACATAATCATATTAATTAAACACAATCAGACAAGAACTTATCATTAATTATTTAATCATCGAGCAGGGTGACGTTTCTATATAGATCATAATTAGACAGCGGATATTTATGCTAATAAATAGATAATTTTTTTCATCCTTAAATTATTAGAGGTGTGCAAAATAATCCTGTGATTATAAAGTTCAAATTTTTATTAGGATGGAAAATTTGAAAAAAATTTCGATTTTAAAAACTGACTCGAGAATGACAATTTCATTTCGGATCGATTCGGAAATATTCGGATATGATCGGTATCCGATTATTCTCGAACTGATCCGAAGTTTTACGAATTGAATTCGAAATCCCAAGCAAATATAGATATATTATATAATACTTCGAATTTTCCTAATTTATCTGAATTTCATAATCTCGCGTTATCGCATACCTCTACTAAATATATTTTGTTCTTTTATACAGAAAATTGGTCTGGAAATTGGTGACATAAGAAAAAGAAAACAAAAATTCTAAATGCAAAAATAAATCTAAAAAATATGGAATAACATTTTTGATAAATCAAATTTGAAAATTCATATTATGTTATATATTCATTATATTATTTATTTATATATTATATATTATTTATTTTGTTATTTTGTTATTTTGCTTCTATATTCTTTATTTTATCTTCACTTTAAATATTATTATATTTTAACAAAAATTTATTCTATTATTATTCTCCAAAATCCATTTATATTTGAAAAATTTTCAAATTTTATTTTCTCGATAATTATTTTTTCAAATGAAAAGAAACATTATTTGCAATTTATTTTTGCACCTAGAATCATCTTTTCTCAATTATATATATATTCTTCAATTATATCACCAATTATACCAGATACACCCTGTATATTATACGCTTTCCTCCACATTCAAATTTCGCCATTCAAAATACGTGTAATAAACATCCGCGGTCTACATTTAACCAACTCCACCCCGAAAAAAACAGACTTGGGAGGAATCCCTCGCTAGGATCCCTCCTCAGCCTCAGTTCAGTAATGGGCCCGGATCGGTGTATTCGCACTCGTGCGTGTCTTGTTTTCTGTTTCAGTCCCCTCCCAAAGGTGCCACGATCCCTTATCGCCCCAAACCCCAAGTTGGTGGGCCAGTGATCCTGGCTGGTGGGCAAGCCTACACCATCCAGGGTAATTACGCGGTGCCCGCCCACTCGGACGTAAGTACAGTATTGCCATTGCCCGCGCCCGCTGCCGGGCCCACCCCGCCCTCGCTGAACACCCAAACTTTGACGACTTCGCCCTTCGCGGCCCACCCCTCATCCTCGGCCTTCGCCGCTTCTCACGGGCATCCGCTCCTATCCACGGCCCACCTTACAACACCCCATCATCCCCTCCACCCAAGCCCCTTACACGCCAGCGTGGCAGGCCTCGCCGACCCCCTGCTGAAGAGTGGACACTTGCAGGCAGCCCTCCCGCCCGCACACCTCGTGGCAGACGCCGTAAGTCTTTTGTTTTTCGTGATCCACCCCTCCTCCCGTTACCCTGAACAACAGAACCACCCCCCACCCCCACCCCAAAGCCAAGAGATACTACCACCAGACCCAAAAAAAAAAAAAAAAAAAAAAAAGAAAAAGATAAATACCGGTACACACACGTATTCATTCGAATTGATATTTTTTAATGCGTATACACGTACACACGTATATATATATTTTATTACACGTACACGTTGTACGGAGCAGCGCGAGCGGACCCGTTATTTGAATTATATACGTTTGTATATGGTTATACATCCTTTTTATAATCTGTATCCCTGATGTTCCTTAATCGGTCTTTTCAATATCGATAGATACCTAGATATTTGAAGATTTTTTTATCACTCTTTTTTTTTTTTTTATATCATCTATATTTCTGAGTATTATTATCTTGGACCTGTTTTCGGATTAAATACACGACAATGGTCGAGCGCGGTAATTGGTGGAAATATTTCGTGAAGCATTGGATGCGAAAGAGAGAGCTGGCGCGTTTATGGGCGATGGTGATAGTTGTAAGTGGTTCGTGAAATATTGTTTTTCTAAGTTAAAATTTTTTACTATTTCGATTTGTGGATCAAAACTGAAATTTTTATTCTAAGAATCTAATTCTGGATTTATTAATAAGCATTTAGGATTTTCTAAGGAAATTAATTGAACTTAATATATTATTTTGAAAAAATAAAAATTGCTAGATAGGATATTTTTTTTATTAAAAAAAGCAAAATAATTTTTATTTATTTTTTGTGATAGGAGCGGATTTCCAGTAAAAAATGTATTATTTTTCTTATTTTTTTTTTATTTCTAAAAATAATTATAAAATGAGATTAAATCCTAGTGTTCCATCATATGAAATATTAAATTTTTTTTTATATAATCCTTATGAAAAAAATTGTTTTTAAGTTTCTTAAAGTTGATATTCTTTTTATTTAGATATTTTTGCATATGACAATAAATAATTTTGTCATAATTTTTTTCAAAAGGAAAAATTTAAAGTTTTATAAATTTGAATTCTTTTCCCAGTTTTAAGTTTTATATTATAAAAACAAAATGAAATATCATATTTATTTAAAAAATTTTTTATTATCTTATCATAATTTGAAATTATTGAAATTGTTGAATAATTTGAAAGAAAAAAAAGTACGAATTATCTGGATATTTTTTACAATTTAAACATTAAAAGTTGTTAAACCGATTAAATATAACTCATGAAAGAAAAAACTTTTAAACAATGATAATAATTTTATCACTGATAATTTTCACTGATAATAATACAAAATTTCTTTTAATAATTCGAAAATCATAATTATTTTTAAATGATTAAAGTTGCATTTAATTTAAGGAAACAGTCATTAATGATTCATTCTTTCAATACAATCGAATATTGCATTAAAAAAAAATTAAATTGTATTAGCGATAGAGTTAAAATTACATTTATTTTGATTTTATTTAATATCAATTTCATGTAAAATTTATTTTATAGATTATTAGAATTTCAACGATTTTATCAACAAAATAATATATATGCATCATTTCAATCAATTTTCTTAATATAAATGCTTAAAACGATTAATAAAAGCATAAAATAAAAAATTTAAAATTTTCAAAAAAAAAAAACAAATTATATACAAATAAAATTTCAATATTTTTCTATCAAAGTTTGCAAAGAAGAAACTCTTATCATATCATATTTCTTATTATCACACTGTTTATCAAAAAGAATCTTAATTACAATAAGTCACAAATTCTTTCTTTATCTTTTTTAAAATTAATTTTCTATTTACGAATTCTTATCATATATTACATATATCGTTTATTATTATATTGCTACCATAACACATTTTTTTTAATAATTTTAAAATGAAGAATTTTTACTATTATACTATTACCGATAAAGATTTAAATTACATTAATTTTATAATCTCGAAATTTTTTAAACAAATGAAAAAATTCTTATCATATCACATTAATTTCTTACTCTTCTATCTTATTATTCAATGAAAAAGAAAAAAAACTATAGCAGATCACACATACGAATTTTAAAATTGTTTAAACAAAAGAAGAATTCTTATTATATTACATTTCTTACTATTATAAAAAAAACTATACTAGATTAAATTTAACAATTTTGAGATTTTTTTTTTGCTCAAATACGAGCCAGTTCTACGGTTCACAGCATACAATGCTTCATGGACGACGAGAAACAGCCAACTCGGAAACAGTCAATAGTACGCGGTTCGCTCGGTTACTATTCCAACCATTCGATATCCAATTTTCACCAAATGCCGTAGAATGTTTGCCCACGTGTACCGGAATGCTCCACTGTTGTATAGGCTACCTGGTCCCCATCCTAGAAAAGTCCACATACTCACAAGTCCACATACTCCAATCCACATGCATCGCCACCTTGAACACACCTTGGCTTTCTGCTCGACTCTTCTTCCCGTGTGCAGCTTCGAATCAATTTTCCTTCCAAAATGAAATTCAAGTTTATCTTCTTCTCTTTATCGAACTCCAGAACAGAAGGAAAGATACGATTAAAATATGTTGTTAAAAAAAATATAGCAAGAATTTGTGAAATGGAGAGAAAACGAGAAAATGTTGTTATAATTATAGAAATTAAAATGTGAAAATTAGAAATAAGAAAGATAAATGAGATGCATGAATCTCTGAATTTCTGATTTTTTTCTGTTACTTCAATCGTTAATTTTAATGAAATTCATAAATAATTTTTATAATCTTATGTTTATAATCTTATTCAAAGCAATTATAATTTATTAATTTATTGATTAATAATCACAATTGTATGTAATATTTTTCTTTGCATTTTATGAATTATTCTTATAAATTAATAAATATAATTTGTTATAGAACGAGTGATACAAACATGATGATGATTTTGATAAGCAAAAATACGTTGAAAGTGAAAAATAATATTTTATCGTTTGAGATGAAATTTTTCAAAAAAATCAAACTTGAAAACTTATCAAATATAAGTTCTTGAGTAAATAAGGATGGTATATCCGCGAGATGATTCTACGAGCAAAAATAAATCGAAAATATAAAATAAATTCGTTTTATTAAAATAAACAAATTTTATTTAAGATATATCTTATATCAAAATTTTTGTTCTTTCACAATAAATTTCTAATTAATAATGTATTACCCCTATAATAAAAAGTACAAATTCAGATATGCACGAATTTTTTTCTAATAAAAATATGGTTATTTTTTTATTTAAAATTGAAATTCATTATCCTAGTTATAATGATTCGTATTATTATTAAAAAATTATTGAGAAATTATTTTAGAGAATCGAATCTACAGATCGAAACTAATAAAAAAAATTAATTTCAGAAACGTCATCTTTGAGCCTTATTTATTAAGTTGTAAGCAATTAAAAGTTCGCATCAGATGAAGCATCAGAGAAGGAAAAAGAAAGTTAGATCGCTCTGTCTTCGTCGCACTACCTTTATTTTCGTTCCACATTATCTAATGCAAACTTAAATTATTTATAACTTAAATAAATAAGTCTCGACTGACTTTTTATGTCTGTTTTGACTTCTAGAATTGATTCTTCAATATTATCACGAATATATTTATATTTATTTATTTTATATTTTTATATTTATTTATTTGTTATAAGTTATTGGATCGATTGTTTTTTGATATATTAATTAATGTTTTTAATAGAAACATAAATTTTCTTCATTTGGTAAATATAATTTCTTGCACGATAAACAATAAATTAAACAATGGCGAAATTTAATATCACGAAACTATTCAGACATAATGGTTTACTCGCCATAATGAGTTATTGTATTCAGTTGATTTTATTGCCAGCGTACAATGTTATGTTATGAATATATATACATATAAAATCGTATAAATATGTAACTTGTTCGTTGTTCTAGTATTTTTGCGACGTTAATTTATTTTTTCGCCATTATTTATTATATCGTTTATTGCATAAAAGATTATGTGCATTAAATAAATGGAATTATGTTTCTATTAACAAGTATTTCAATATATTAAAGCACAATTAAATATATATCAATATATACATGTATATATAGAACGATAAGGTATCCAAATATTAATACAAATCATTATAATTTTTTTTATTATCAAAAATTAAAAAAACAATAAAAGAATTTTGAAAAATTGTCAAAAAATAAAATTATTCGATTAATAATAGTTAATAGTTCTTGAAAATAGTTTCAATAGTTTCTAACTCGTTCTAAAAGTTTCTAAATTCATATTTTTTTATAATTTATTACCAAACTTTTTATCAAAGCTAAATCTTGTATAGTAAATTACAAAAATTGAAAAATAAGATTACATTTTGTAATCATTCTTTTAGAAAAATGATAGAAATCTCTTAAAAAGTAAATAATTATATATACGTGCTATTTTTTTGTTCTGGAGTAGATGAAAGAATATCGAACATAATTGAAAAATATTGATAAAAATTGGTAAAAGGAACTCAAAGCTGCACTTCACGCCACTGTGTTTCTCCCAATCGCGTGACTTCACGAGAAACCGTCTCTCTAATTTCCACTTCTCTTATCTATCAAAATCTTTTATTTCAAAAATTTTTTTTTATCGATCGATTGAAAATCTATCTACAAATATAAGTATGTGAATCCATTTGAGAATATATTCTCATGAATCACTTTCGAGAATATTTTTTATTTCACGAGTGTATATCGCGTTAAAAACGTAACTTTCACTTTCAACGCAGTGTCCACTAACGAATAATGAATAGATAACTCTTTAGAACAATTCTTGAAAATTTTTAAGTACGGATATATTTAAATATAAAATTCTTAAGAATACTTACTTACGATAATAATTTTTCATTAGTATATGTTGCATTGAGAATGATTGTCATTGAACTCTCAATGCATATGTTCACTAAAATATTCTCAAGAGTTTTACTCTCACTGAGTATTCTTAGAATGCAA